GTTGGGTGTGGCGGCTCTTGTTGGGTGTGGGGGCTCTTGTTGGGTGTGGGGGCTCTTGTTGGGTGTGGGGGCTCTTGTTGGGTGTGGTGGCTCTTGTTGGGTGTGGTGGCTCTTGTTGGATGTGGTGGCTCTTGTTGGGTGTGGCGGCTCTTGTTGGGTGTGGCGACTCTTGTTGGGTGTGGGGGCTCTTGTTGGGTGTGGGGGCTCTTGTTGGGTGTGGTGGCTCTTGTTGGGTGTCTGGTGGCTCTTGTTGGGTGTGTGGCGGCTCTTGTTTTGTGTGGCGTCTCTTGTTGGGTGTGGTGGCTCTTGTTGGGTGTGTGGGGGCTCTTGTTGGGTGTGGCGGCTCTTGTTGGGTGTGTGGGGGCTCTTGTCGGGTGTGGCGGTTCTTGTTGGGTGTGTGGCGGCTCTTGTTGGGTGTGGCGTCTCTTGTTGGGTGTGTGGGGGCTCTTGTTGGGTGTGGCGGCTCTTGTTGGGTGTGTGGGGGCTCTTGTTGGGTGTGGCGGCTCTTGTTGGGTGTGTGGGGGCTCTTGTTGGGTGTGGCGTCTCTTGTTGGGTGTGTGGGGGCTCTTGTTGGGTGTGGCGTCTCTTGTTGGGTGTGTGGGGGCTCTTGTTGAATGTGTTGTCTCTTGTTGGGTGTGTGGGGGCTCTTGTTGGGTGTGGTGGCTCTTGTTGGGTGTGGCGGCTCTTGTTGGGTGTGGCGGCTCTTGTTGGGTGTGGGGGCTCTTGTTGGGTGTGGTGGCTCCTGTTGGGTGTGGGGGCTCTTGTTGGGTGTGGGGGCTCTTGTTGGGTGTGGGGGCTCTTGTTGGGTGCGGGGGCTCTTGTTGGGTGTGGCGGCTCTTGTTGGGTGTGGGGGCTCTTGTTGGGTGTGGCGGCTCTTGTTGTGTGTGGGGGCTCTTGTTGGGTGTGGGGGCTCTTGTTGGGTGTGGGGGCTCTTGTTGGGTGTGGTGGCACTTGTTGGGTGTGGTGGCTCTTGTTGGATGTGGTGGCTCTTGTTGGGTGTGGCGGCTCTTGTTGGGTGTGGCGGCTCTTGTTGGGTGTGGGGGCTCTTTTTGGGTGTGGGGGCTCTTGTTGGGTGTGGTGGCTCTTGTTGGGTGTCTGGTGGCTCTTGTTGGGTGTGTGGCGGCTCTTGTTGGGTGTGGCGTCTCTTGTTGGGTGTGGTGGCTCTTGTTGGGTGTGTGGGGGCTCTTGTTGGGTGTGGCGGCTCTTGTTGGGTGTGTGGGGGCTCTTGTTGGGTGTGGCGGCTCTTGTTGGGTGTGTGGCTCTTGTTGGGTGTGGCTCTTGTTGGGTGTGTGGGGGCTCTTGTTGGGTGTGGCGGGCTCTTGTTGGGTGTGTGGGGGCTCTTGTTGGGTGTGGCGGCTCTTGTTGGGTGTGTGGGGGCTCTTGTTGGGTGTGGCGTCTCTTGTTGGGTGTGTGGGGGCTCTTGTTGGGTGTGGCGTCTCTTGTTGGGTGTGTGGGGGCTCTTGTTGGGTGTGGCGTCTCTTGTTGGGTGTGTCTTGTTGGGTGTGGTGGCTCTTGTTGGGTGTGGCGTTGGGTGTGGCTCTTGTTGGGTGTGTGGGGGGGTGTGGGGCTCTTGTTGGGTGTGGCGGCTCTTGTTGGGTGTGGCGGCTGTTGGGTGTGGTCTCGTGTTGGGTGTGGGGCTCTTGTTGGGTGTGGCGGCTCTGTTGGGTGTGGGGGGCTCTTGTTGGGTGTGGGGGCTCTTGTTGGGTGTGGCGGCTCTTGTTGGGTGTGTTGGCTCTTGTTGGGTGTGGGGGCTCTTGTTGGGTGTGGCGGCTCTTGTTGGGTGTGGCGGCTCTTGTTGGGTGTGGTGGCTCGTGTTGGGTGTGGGGCTCTTGTTGGGTGTGGCGGCTCTTGTTGGGTGTGGCTCTTGGGATGTGGTGGCTCTTGTTGGGTGTGGTTGGGTGGGCTCTTGTTGGGTGTGGGGCTCTTGTTGGGTGTGGCGGCTCTTGTTGGGTGTGGGGGGCTCTTGTTGGGTGTGGGGGCTCTTGTTGGGTGTGGGGGCTCTTGTTGGGTGTGGCGGCTCTTGTTGGGTGGGGGGGCTCTTGTTGGATGTGTTGGCTCTTGTTGGGTGTGGCGGCTCTTGTTGGGTGTGGGGGCTCTTGTTGGGTGTGGGGGCTCTTGTTGGGTGTGGGGGCTCTTGTTGGGTGTGGCGGCTCTTGTTGGGTGGGGGGGCTCTTGTTGGATGTGTTGGCTCTTGTTGGGTGTGGCGGCTCCTGTTGGGTGTGGGGGCTCTTGTTGGGTGTGGGGGCTCTTGTTGGGTGTGGTGGCTCTTGTTGGGTGTGGGGCTCTTGTTGGGTGTGGTGGCTCTTGTTGGGTGTGGTGGCTCTTGTTGGGTGTGGCGGCTCTTGTTGGGTGTGGTGGCTCTTGTTGGGTGTGGTGGCTCTTGTTGGGTGTGGCGACTCTTGTTGGGTGTGGTGGCTCTTGTTGGGTATGCTACTCCTTGGACTGTGTACAGGTTCTTGTAGTTGTGAATGTGAGATTCAGCTGTAGTGTAAGTGTGAGAAAGTTTTAAAAATATATTTCCTTCTCTTCGTCATTACAGGCCTCGTGCAGTCTTCTGTATTCCTTGTAGCTGTTGTGGTATTCGTCTTATCCTTCTCCTTCACCTCCCATTCTTTCCTTATACTTTCTCTTTCACTCATTCTTTATACGGTTTGATGAGGGTCCAGGGCGGACTGAAACGTCGTAACTTTAGGGTCCAGGACGGACTGAAACGTCGTAACTTTAGGGTCCAGGACGGACTGAAACGTCGTAACTTTAGGGTCCAGGACGGACTGAAACGTCGTAACTTTAGGGTCCAGGAAGGACTGAAACGTCGTAACTTTAGGGTCCAGGACGGACTGAAACGTCGTAACTTTAGGGTCCAGGACGGACTGAAACGTCGTAACTTTAGGGTCCAGGACGGACTGAAACGTCGTACTGAAAAACGTCGTAACTTTAGGGTCCAGGAAGGACTGAAACGTCGTAACTTTAGGGTCCAGGACGGACTGAAACGTCGTAACTTTAGGGTCCAGGACGGACTGAAACGTCGTAACTTTAGGGTCCAGGACGGACTGAAACGTCGTAACTTTAGGGTCCAGGACGGACTGAAACGTCGTAACTTTAGGGTCCAGGACGGACTGAAACGTCGTAACTTTAGGGTCCAGGACGGACTGAAACGTCGTAACTTTAGGGTCCAGGGCGGACTGAAACGTCGTAACTTTAGGGTCCAGGGCGGACTGAAACGTCGTAACTTTAGGGTCCAGGGCGGACTGAAACGTCGTAACTTTAGGGTCCAGGGCGGACTGAAACGTCGTAACTTTAGGGTCCAGGACGGACTGAAACGTCGTAACTTTAGGGTCCAGGACGGACTGAAACGTCGTAACTTTAGGGTCCAGGACGGACTGAAACGTCGTAACTTTAGGGTCCAGGACGGACTGAAACGTCGTAACTTTAGGGTCCAGGACGGACTGAAACGTCGTAACTTTAGGGTCCAGGACGGACTGAAACGTCGTAACTTTAGGGTCCAGGACGGACTGAAACGTCGTAACTTTAGGGTCCAGGACGGACTGAAACGTCGTAACTTTAGGGTCCAGGGCGGACTGAAACGTCGTAACTTTAGGGTCCAGGACGGACTGAAACGTCGTAACTTTAGGGTCCAGGGCGGACTGAAACGTCGTAACTTTAGGGTCCAGGGCGGACTGAAACGTCGTAACTTTAGGGTCCAGGGCGGACTGAAACGTCGTAACTTTAGGGTCCAGGACGGACTGAAACGTCGTAACTTTAGGGTCCAGGACGGACTGAAACGTCGTAACTTTAGGGTCCAGGACGGACTGAAACGTCGTAACTTTAGGGTCCAGGACGGACTGAAACGTCGTAACTTTAGGGTCCAGGACGGACTGAAACGTCGTAACTTTAGGGTCCCGGACGGACTGAAACGTCGTAACTTTAGGGTCCAGGACGGACTGAAACATCGCAAATTCTTTACTTTCAGATGTTTGGGTTGGGCGTCTAATTTTCAGCCCCGCTATTGTGCAACTTTATCTGCAAGTTGGGTTAGAACCCAACATATAATATATAAAATATTAATAACAGCTAGATTTGGGGTTGGGGATGAGTTAGTATGGGTCAGGATAAGTTAGGATAGGCTAAATTAGTTTAGATTAGCTTTAAATATTGAATATTGAGAGGGATATGAGCGAAGTGTTTACCGTGGGAAGAGACAATGTCAGCTGGTCGTGGAGGAGAGAGACGGCTGACATAGCGACGGGCGTCAGCTGCTGATCAACGACAGAGACAAACGACTGACAGTTCAGAGGAGCAAGCAGCAGGTAATTGTCTGGGGAAAACACGGGCACCAACTGATCACCTGATGAAGCCTCACCCAATTGCTTTATTGACTCGTGAGTGACGCGCGGCCCGCCTCCTTTGTTAATGAGGGAGGGGGGGGGTGAGAGAGGGGGGGGCAGGGAGGAATTGGAAGGTGGAATTGAAACAAAACAAATGGGAACCAGACAAGAGACATGAAGATGGTAAGGTAACTACTAACACAACTAAGACATATATATATCAGTATGATCGAACAATTGGTTACTAGACTTCAACCCAAATAAATGCAAGATCACATGGACAGCAATAGATGAAATGTTTTCGGAAGATCAACACACAAAGATGGGAACTAACCTGCTTCAGAAACAAAACAAAAAAAAGAGGACTTTAGGAAGTACACATAACACGGAACCTATCACAGGAGGCACATATAAACATACCCACATATGCAGGTTACATGTTCCTGAGGAAAGTATCGAGAACCTTCGAGAAGTGTAGTGTAAATTCCCAACCACTTGGGCTGGACGGTAGAGCGACGGTCTCGCTTCATGCAGGTCAGCGTTCAATACCCGACTATCCAAGTGATTGGGCACTATTCCTTCCCTCTGTCCTTTCCCAACCCCTTATCCTCATAGCCCTTCCCCATCCCACCCCAAATCCTTATCCTGATCCCTTCCTAGTGCTATATAGTCGTAATGGCTTGGCGCTTTGCCCCTGATATTTCAATTCAATTCGGCAAGGAGGCCTGTAAGTGGCCGTTATCGACCAGTGTTGGAGTATGTGCTACCCTCATGAACCACAAAGCTTCCCGTAGAACCTCTAAAGACTACTGAGAGAACCTTCACAAAGTTTAAAGCGAACCTTAAAGGAGCTCTGATAGAACCTTAAGAAAGTCCAACAAGCTCCTTACTATGCAATGCATTGAACTGAGAAGACAGATTGCAGCAGCTGAATTTAATCCCATCTGATGAAAGGAGAGCTAGTAAGGGCGGGAAAAGATTCCGACATACGAAATGTTTACCTTCCTCGATCTACTAGACAAATTCCTAAAATGAGCAGCAGCAGCAGCAGCAGCAGCAACAGCAACAGCAGCAGCAGCAACAGTAGCAACAGCAGCAACAGCAACAGCAGCAGCAGCAACAGTAGCAGCAACAGCAGCAGCAACAGCAGCAGCAGCAAGCAGCAGCAGCACCAGCAGCAGCAGCGCATGAAGACACACTCAAGGCTAGACACACAGACGATTCACAGAACTGTCAAGCTAAAACCTCTTAGAACAAAGGCAATAAGTACACTGAATTACAACCTTGTCACCTCAGAGCCAATTCTGTCCCCACCCCCTGGTCTAAAAGTGTATATATAACTCAGTACCGAAGGAGTGGAGAGTTTGAAAGGTAGAGCCCAGGAACCGGAGCTCCATCCTGCATATTATTCCAGGTCATCAGACCCCTAAACTCCATAATATAATAATATCAAACAATTCGAGTCAGTTGCTTCCAGCGCCGTCATCACGATCGGATCAGAGGCGCTGATCCTCCCACTTAAACGATAACGTGGCGGAGACCGGACGAGTGCCAGAGTTATGATGAATACTATTATCAAGGGGCAAGCTGTCCTCAGAGAATAGTTTCTCTGGATGTAATGACTTCAAAACAATAGGGAGTAGAAATAGCCTAAGTTACTCTATCCCTTTGAGATGTATTTCTTTCTTGTCTCAATAAATATACTTGAACTTGAACTTCAAAACAACTACGAAACTGTTGCTATTATATACTCCCTATCCCTAGTTAGAGTAGGTTATTGAACCCTATATTAGGTTTCAATACGTTTGGCTACGATAATAGTGTGTATTATTCTAAAAAAAAGTGATATGTGGAATTCAAAAACTATTTGAGTACCTCCATAGTATTTTATTTACAGAAAGCAAAATTCCTCAGACCATTTAAAGAAAAAGAGTTCAGCAAATACTTTTTTATGTATTAAATTAACAACTTATAATACAATAAAGTCATAACTTGAAAATATCCTTTGTTTAGGACAAAGGTTCACTTGCAAGTTCACAAGTAGACAATTAGTGGAACAGCAATATGCTTAATTTCAGACCATCACAAATATCTAGATAACTATCAAAGTGGTTTGAGGGGGAGGGTCTGGTGTCTCGTAATGGATATACTCTAAGAATGGGCTGTTTCTATTATTATTATTATTATTATTATTATTATTATTATTATTATTATTATTATTATTATTATTACTATGAATAACAATAATGTACCTGAGGTGACAAGTGTGTCTATAAGCGCCACGTGAGCGGCCTGTCACATGTCATTCAACTATGTTGTTCAATTGCATCATTCAAGTCATTAATTCTAACTCCTGGGATTACAAATGCTTCACTAATACAATCATAAAGCTTACTTAAAAGAAATACTACTTAATAACTTATTGTGCGTCTTCTCCAAATATTGTACATTAAAGATGCTAAGAAAATACTAAGAAAACCCGATATGGAAAACGGACAAAAGTTAAGAAAATGGATAAATTTCTTCAAGCATAGAAAACGGGATATTCTAACATGGACTCCACATTGAGATTTTTGTTTTATGTTGCTTTTGAGCAACAAGTTGAGGAGAGGCGCCATCACGCCAGGGGGGCCAGCTCCTCCTGGAGGCAGTTCTCGGATATTGTTTTGATCTGCAAAATAGTGGAGAGTGCCTCCTCACACAAATGGGTCGTTGGAAGTAATTGAAGGGGACTTCTTCAATTACTTTAGGTCATTCGAGTAATTGAAGATGTCTGCCAGATAGGAGAGAGATAGAGGATGGGGGGGGGAGTGGTCTTCAAAATGTTCAGCTTATTTATTGTGAACTCTGTGAGGAACATTTCAGCATGGAGTTGCACACAAAGAGTCAGGACTCTCTCACGTGAGAGCTGCCTCACTTGAGGAGAGACACTCTACATAAACATTGTCATCAACACTTCCGCGGACATAAACATTCCATTCACCTGGGCTGGACGGTAGAGCGACGGTCTCGCTTCATGCAGGTCGGCGTTCAATCTCCGACCGTCCAAGTGGTTGGGCACCATTCCTTCTTTCCATCCCATCCCAAATCCTTATCCTCACCCCTTCCTAGTGCTATATAGTCGTAATGACTTGGCGTTTTCCCCGATATCCCTCCCCCTCACCTGGGCTCTAGGAGACTCGAACCCGAGTCTCAGTCGACTGAGCTATAAAGTAGTCTTAATAAAGAAAGTTTCCTTATTAAGGCTACTCAATAGCTCGGTCGATACAGTTTCGGCCTCACACACGTGGGGGTTCACGATTCGAACCTCCTAGAGCTCAGCTGAATGGAAAGTTGTTCTACATATTCTGCATTGCTCCGTCATGAATTATTTTCTAAATCTCTCCCAGAGTCTGGTATGTAAGTATCTACATTCCTTCTCTCCTATTAGTTGCAAGTTTCCGCAGCTTGATCCTCCATGTCGTTCCCTGATGTTCCTACATGACTTACTGGCACCGCGATGAAAAGAATTCAACAACCTTGTCGTTTGAATATTTACATTAATGGTGTCACATTTAAAGTCATGTTTATGTAGTCGCGTAACTGTTACTGTTGCAAGGTTCTTGCATAGAGGGATCTCGACAAGCCCATACCTACAGGCTTCCTGTCCCCCCCACAAGGGGAATCATAACCTCTCGCCTCGAGTTCATACCAACCAAGATCACGGCGATACTCTTGGAAACCATCCACTAACATACGTAAACTATCAGCTCGTTCTCTCGGTTGGCCACTCCGTTAAAAACACGACTGTTTTACCGAACCAGAAACATACAACCCGCCTCACCCATGTGTGTGTGTGTGTGTGTGTGTGTGTGTGTGTGTGTGTGTGTGTGTGTGTGTGTGTGTGTGTATTCTACTGCTCCGCCTCTGAGTCTTATAGCACAGAACTCAACTTCTCTCTCAACGAACCCGTAGGAGACGGCCCATCACAGAGGCTGAGTGGAAAAATTAGCTCTAGCGCCTTAAGAAGTCAATCTTTATTGGCTTCAATCAAGTCAATGTGATCAGGGAGCTCCAGCGGCCCTTCAAAACACAAGGAAACGTCCACAGCTTTTTTTTTTTACTTTCTCTCTTTCTTAACCATGTATTTTTGTCATTAGTAAACGAGTCTTTTTGTCTTGCTCGTAAACATTCCTTTCTCTTGTTCGTCAACGCGACCCGAACGACGTCCGCGACCCTCCAACGACGTCCGCGACCCTCCAACGACGTCCACGACCCCTCCAACGACGCCCGCGACCCTCCAACGACGTCCGCGACCCTCCAACGACGTCCGCGACCCTCCAACGACGCCCGCGACCCTCCAACGACGTCCGCGACCCTCCAACGACGTCCGCGACCCTCCACCGACGTCCGCGACCCTCCAACGACGTCCGCGACCCTCCAACGACGTCCGCCTCGAGTTCATACACCTCCAACGACGTCCACGACCCTCCAACGACGTCCACGACCCTCCAACGACGTTCACGACCCTCCAACGACGTCCACGACCCTCCAACGACGTCCACGACCCTCCAACGACGTACACGACAATCCAACGACGTCCACGACCCTCCAACGACGTCCCCGACCCTCCAACGACGTCCCCGACCCTGCAACGACGTCATCGACCCTCCAACGACGTCCGCGACCCTCCAACGACGTCCGCGACACTCCAACGACGTCCGCAACCCTCCAACGACGTCCGCGACCCTCCAACGACGTCCGCGACCCTCCAACGACGTCCGCGACCCTCCAACGACGTCCGCGACCCTCCAACGACGTCCGCGACCCTCCAACGACGTCCGCGACCCTCCAACGACGTCCGCGACCCTCCACCGACGTCCGCGACCCTCCAACGACGTCCGCAACCCTCCAACGACGTCCACGACCCTCCAACGACGTCCATGACCCCTCCAACGACGTCCACGACCCTCCAACGACGTCCACGACCCCTCTAACAACGTCCACGACCCTCCAACGACGTTCACGACCCTCCAACGACGTTCACGACCCTCCAACGACGTTCACGACCCTCCAACGACGTCCACGACCCTCCAACGACGTCCACGACCCTCCAACGACGTCCACGACCCTCCAACGACGTCCACGACCCTCCAACGACGTCCACGACCCTCCAACGACGTCCACGACCCTCCAACGACGTCCGCGACCCTCCAACGACGTCCGCGACAGTGCCAGCGGGCAAGTAGTCAACGTCAACTATCCACGCGGCCAACTGCCCCCATCCGGGCGGCCGTCAAAGGAGACTGAAAGATTGAGGAATAACGTAAGAAAAGGGGAAACTTACAGAGGGCCGACGGAGATGGAATTGATCAAATTTATCGTCATTCTAACTTTTTTTTGGAGTGGAAAGAAAGCAAGGAGGTTGATGGGGGAGTTGATGAGGAGGGGGGGACTGTTGAACATGAGGGATTGACGGGGGTGTTGATCTGGGGGGGGGGAGTTTCAGAGGTGAATGAGGCAGGTTAAGAAGTGAATGAGGCAGGTTGAGAGGGGAATGAGGCAGGTTAAGAAGTGAATGAGGCAGGTTGAGAGGGGAATGAGGCAGGTTGAGAGGGGAATGACGAAGGTAATAGGGGAATGGGAGTGTATGGACGTTAATGGGAACATTAATGAACAGGTAAAGGGTGAAGGGAACTATTAGGGAACAGCGCCAAGCCATTACGACTATATGGCACTGGGAAGGAGTCAGGATAAGGATTTGGGATGGGACGGGGGGAAAGGAATGGTGCCCAACCACTTGTGGACGGTCGGGGATTGAACGCCGACCTGCCACCCTTCCACTCTTATACCCTTCCCTTCTCAGTCCCCCCCCCCCCCCCTCTCTCTCTCTCTCTCTCTCTCTCTCTCTCTCTCTCTCTCTCTCTCTCTCTCTCTCTCTCTCTCTCTCTCTCTCTCTCTCTCTCTCTCTCTCTCTCTCTCACTCCTCCTCCTCTCTCACCCATTCCCTCTCTCTCTCTCTCCCCCCCCCCCCCCCCCACTCTCCTCTCCTGTCAACACTAGACCCACGATACAGCCCAACGCAATCCGGACTTTTCATTCCCAGTGCAAACGACGGCGGATATGGGAAGCTTAACCAAAAGCGGCTCTAATACTAGCGAAAAAAAAAGAGGGAAAGAGTGAACAGGTGTTCGTATATTTCGTCAAAATTGTTCGTCCTTCTCACCCATCAAAGCCCAGAGGCGGCCGAATTAGAATTAGTTTAAATCCCCGAAATCATCTCAAGATAACCTCAAGAAGATAACACTAGTTATCTAAATCTAAAATCTAGTTATCTAACACTAAATTTTAACAAAAATTTTAAATAATAACAATTTACATTTAACAAAAATGCTAATTTTCGCAATTTTATATCATCAAGTCGAAGGGTTAGTTTTTATAGTGTGTGTGTGGGGGGGGGGGGAGTTAACGTTGTCCTATAATACAGTATGCTGTATCATCTATCATACAAACTGCTGTATTATCCACCACACTATACGTTATGTAAGCGATATCCGGGTTTAATAATACTGTCCAATGGGCCCCCCCCCCCTAGGTTGTTTAAGCCTATGGCGATATTGCTATCTCGAAACGTAACAACACGCAATGTCCAGTTGGTGATGTCAGTACGATATCAGGGGCCACAATAGTATGATACCAGGGCCCACAATAGTATGATATCAGGGCCCACTATAGTATGATATCAGGGCCCACTACAGTATGATATCAGGGCCCACTACAGTATGATATCAGGCCCCACTACAGTATGATATCAGGGCCCACTATAATACTACTGTACTCTAATGGCGCCGGGCAGTATTTGACCATGTGCGTATATATATATATATATATATATATATATATATATATATATATATATATATATATATATATATATATATATATATATATATATATATATATATATAATGTGTGAGTGTGTGTGTCGAGTAAAGTTTTAAATCCTTTCATATCTTTAACAGCGACAGTTAGAAAAGAAAGTTTTCTCCCTCCTGAAGAATATTTGGGCCCTGCAGCTCCGTGTATTTCACGGCGAAACACACTTAGCAAACTTTCTATGACATTTTGCCACGAAATAAGTGATGTGTTTCGTTTACAACAGAGTACAAAGACGCAACACAAGTCAAGCTTTCCTTTCAAGCAGGCGCCCCGCAACACAGGTCAGAATTCAACAAGCATTTACGTGTCCAATTACGAAACATATACATCTTTCCTTCAATCAAGGCGGCTTCATCTGTAGTTCATAAACAGTACATGAACTTACAAAAATTGGATCCCGAGGTTGCCAGCTCATAAGATGTTTAATAAATGCAAACTAAGCCGCCAAGATTGAACAAAAGGTGCAAAGGTTTCGCAAAGAGACACTTCAGTGCTTGGTGAATCCCCCCCCCCCCCACACACATGCATACACATGTTTCCTTCCATACTCAGGTCCTCTCCTAAATCCAATCCTCCACTTCTTTCTATTTCGTCTTCACCTTAACCAGCCTAGTACTACGTGGCTACTATATCCCTGGAAACACAAACCGAAACTGTCTCAAATTTCCGCTTGTTACAGCTTGTAATAAAGTTGTTACATCTTGGCTTAACGTGTTTATGACGCATTAGAACGTTGTTACAACTTGCTATATTGGTTGTTATAACTGGTTAGGAAGTGTTAAAACTTGTTCGAACGTTGTACCAACGTCGTAGTTTCGGTGTGTGTTTGGCGGGATAGGGCATAGTATTACATGTAGTATTAGGACCTAGTGCTATATGGGTACTAGGCCCATGTAGAGAACAGAGTATCAATAAAGAGCCTAAAATCAGATAAAATAATGCTGATGGAATGACAAACAATGTAGATGAATTAAAAGAAAGGTACGATGAAAAAACTGACGCAATAGCAAGAAACTAAAATAAATGAACACTAATGCAACATTCCCCAGACAACAGCAGACAGCAAGAAGAGAAAGACAGCAGAGAGGGAGAAGAGGGAGTGACAATGTTGGTCAAAAGTCTGCGGGTTTGAATAGATTTATTTTGAGGAATAGACGAATAATGCAGACAATATTACAGAAATCATTTCAGTGGAAGGAGAATATTTCTTGTAGTGATTTACAACCCACCAGAGAGCTGGTCGGCCGAGCGGCCAGCACGCTGGACTTGTGATCCTGTGGTCCAGGGTTCGATCCCAGGCGCCGGCGAGAAACAATAGGCAGAGTTTCTTTCACCCTATGCCCCTGTTACCTAGCAGTAAAATAGGTACCTGGGTGTTAGTCAGCTGTCACGGGCTGCTTCCTGAGGGGTGGAGGCCTGGTCGAGGACCGGGCCGTGGGGACACTAAAGCCCCGAAATCATCTCAAGATAACCACCAGAGAATCACTGAAGACCCAGACAAGGACACGAAAAGCCATACAGCATAAATATCATACAAAATGTTGCTAAATTATCTCTTACTTTGAAAGGAAAACTACTAGTAACAGGAGAGTTCAATCACAGGCAAACTGACTACTAATCAATAGAAATACTCAAGGAACTGGACCTTACAACACTGAAGGAACGAAGAAATATGGCAGACATGATAACAACATACAAGATACTAAAGGGGATGGACAAAAGTAGATATAGAAGCAATGTTCAAGGAAATACAAAATAAATTAAGGTGAGGAATAATAAAACGAGAGGTCAGTTGGAAACTGGAAACTCAGACGAGTCACAGAGATGTTAGAAAGAACTTTGTCAGTCTAAGACTCGTAAATAAGTGGAACAGACTAAATGAGCAAGTTGTTGAAGATAATTCGATACACAATGTAAATATGATAAGGAAATCGGGTTAAAAAAAGAGTCATTACATTGCACTACTGATGAGTGAAAGGCGGGGCTTAAGAGCAGATGCTCGACCCTGCAAGCTGGAGGAGGTGATTGCAACTGAGTACACGCACACACACACACACACACACACACACACACACACACACACACACACACACACACACACACACACACACACACACACACACACACACACACACACACACACACACACACACACACACACACACACACACACACACACACACACACACACACACACACACACACACACACACACACACACACACGCGCACACACACACACACACACACACACACACACACACACACACACACACACACACACACACACACACACACACACACACACACACGACGCCTAATATCCTAGCCTGTTCCAGTACCAGACCTCAACCCTAACATAACGTGTCCCATGAGGCTACAATATTAGTTTCATAACGCACATTAAGCAGACAAAACTATCATAACTCTCCACTGGCCTCTCATGTTGCACCTGCACATTGATGCACATAAATAAAACTCCTTGAAGCACACAGTAAACATCTTACATCTAAAATACCTATCACATAACATAGTGCAAAGTGCGCGCGAAACTAAAATTTTAAGACGTGCTGTCGGGCCAGAATTACTAATTCAAAAATTTTGAAGCGACATTCGCATATACACTTTCCCCTCAACGATGAGGTGTTCTTGACATCTTGTTCTTTTGATCTATGTCATCTTTCCTTTCTTCTCCTCCTTTGTGGGTCGTGTAGTTTGTGTGAAGGTTTTCTCCCCCGCCGATAACTGCACGAGTGGTAATGTTAGGAACCGCGTCACAGTGGTCCGTCAGTGTTTATGATTTGGCAAGACTTGCATGATGCTGTTGCTGCCAGATGGTGCAAGGACGACGACGACGAGGTGAACAGTTATCAAAAGAAGGCGCCAAGTCGAGGGCGACGACGAAACTTGATGCGTTTTAGAGTCAAGACTTGACGCATATGGTGACGAGGGCTGGTGTTGTGGTTATGGTGACTAGGGCTGGGTGTTGTGGTTATGGTGACGAGGGCTGGTGTTGTGGTTATGGTGACGAGGGCTGGTGTTGTGGTTGTGGTGACGAGGGCTGGGTGTTGTGGTGGTGGTGACGAGGGCTGGTGTTGTGGTTGTGGTGACGAGGGCTGGGTGTTGTGGTTATGGTGACGAGGGCTGGTGTTGTGGTGGTGATGACGAGGGCTGGTGTTGTGGTGGTGATGACGAGGGCTGGTGTTGTGGTGGTGATGACGAGGGCTGGTGTTGTGGTGGTGATGACGAGGGCTGGTGTTGTGGTGGTGATGACGAGGGCTGGTGTTGTGGTGGTGATGACGAGGGCTGGTGTTGTGGTGGTGATGACGAGGGCTGGTGTTGTGGTGGTGATGACGAGGGCTGGTGTTGTGGTGGTGATGACGAGGGC